TGTATCCATACGAGTATAAATGGTTCAGAGAAATGACTGTGAAATGCAAAAGGTAGTCTGTGATAATTCAATGAAAAAACTGAAGTACATTTTTTGTTTTTCACATCCATTTCACCCCACGGTTTACAATTATTTTTTGTATACCTAGTTAATCTATAGCAGCCCAAAGACACACAACCTGTAACACCTGGCAGGTGACACTCAGCTAACATAACTGACATTAGCCAATTTCTATCTTCTTACTGTTAATTATTTATCTGAAGAGAACTATTTTTACTTTTTTCTGTTTACTGTGTGTTGTCTTTTTATATTACCATAGTTGTATAAACTGCCCCGAGGTGTTTTCAGTGAAGGGTGCTGTAGAAAGGAATTGCTCAAAGAGTTATTGGCTCAACTCACCTCCTAGGGCCAGACAAGACATTCTACATGTTGTTGTACTTAAAAATATAAATAGCAGCTGTGAGGGAGGAGGGGAGCTGAGCAGCAGCAAGGAGTGATCCTCCCCAGAAGCTGCAAGGAAGCCACCCTTGGTGTCTTGCTGCAAATAGCAACTGAGGGTGAAGGAGAGGATTGAATCCCCCTCCCTGTGGTTTCATTGCTGCTCCCTCCTCTTTGCCTATTTACATATTTTTAAATGTGCGCATTAATTGCACCCATTAGGCCAATAGAAACAGTTCCACAGGGCATACTTTTCCTAAGTAACAAACATCTGATGTAAGGCAAGCAATGCTTTGAAATGGGAGGAGGGTGTACCTCTTCATTCCTCTACCAGGGGTGGGCTGACTTCAGGCTTGTCAGATCTGATTTGCTGTTTTTGCCAGAACCCTAAGATACACCAGCCAGAACCAGCTGCTGAAGACATGCACTCAGAATTGAACAACGGGTTGCCTCTGAGCACAGCCTAGGAATTTGTTTTCAGTATAACTCCTTCCACACAAAAGGACCTCTTAGATTTCTTCATTTCAGCAACCTAATTCAGGTGGGAAAGGTCATTTTGTTGTTGCTATTGATAAACAATTGGAAATCAGAAGAGCCTTTGCTGATGTGTTGCAAACCATGACCCACCTTTTGCATGTCCTTGATCTAAACCAGCACCTATCTTTCACTGAAAATACTTGCTGATTGGTTTTTCACATCATAATACATAATTATGGAAAGGATTATATCACTTAAAACAGCAGTTTTACCTTTAGCAAAGTATAGAGTGTACAGGGTACTGTATAAGAAAAACAACGGAAAGTGATTTTTGTTGGAAAATAGTTTTATTATAAGAGAACTTCTGCTTTAGCTGTTAATGCCTTGTGGTAAAGAGATGCCAACTGCATAAATTATTAACTTGGGAAAATATAGCATTAAATAGGAATAACGCATTAACTGATATTAGCTTTACCTTCTATAAATCAGACTAGTGATTTAATACATTTCACATGGAAATAATACATAGGAATGCAACTATCCTTGCCCCGCCCTCATGAGTTTATCCTAGCCATCTGCCTGATCACCAGCTCCTAGCATCCCTGAGTTCAGGATGCTTAAAATATGAGAGGAGCTGCTTGGAAAGAACTCCTTGCACTGTTCTTAGGGGCACATACCTTTTTTCAAAAGCTGCTTCAGTGGCCATCCATATGGCATTGTCCTGTGGTCTCTCTGTGGAGAGTGAGCTTGTAGGGACTCCAGCAGGATGTGGCCATTGGTAACCAGAGGGTAGGGCTCGAACCAATGGATTCAAGTTACAAGAAAGGAGATTCCAACTAAACATCAGAAAGAACTTTCCAATGCTAAAAGGTGTTCGATGGTGGAACAGACTGCCTTGGGAGGTGGTGGACTCTCCTTCATAGGAGGTTTTTAAGCAGAGGTTGGGTGTCATGGATGCTTCAGTTGAGGTCCAGTCCAAGTTCAGTTAAGGTCTAGTCCAACTGCAGGAGGTTGGACTAGATCAGTGTTTCCCAACCTTGTGCCTCCAGCTGTTTTTGGCCTACAATTCCCATCATCCCTTGCCACTGGTCTTGCTAGTCAGGGATGATGGGAGTTGTAGGCCAAAAACATCTGGAGGCACAAGGTTGGGAAACACTGGACTAGATGTCCCTCAGGGTCCCTTCCAACTCTACAATTCTATTATTTAATCTCTAATCGTAGCTGTAGAGGCCTGGCCCTGTACTCTCATTACACACTCATATTGTGTATGTTTTCCCTCCATGACTAACAGCAGCACCAGAAGAACAATTTGGACTAAGGCTGTGGCTCCTGTGGCTATGTTTCACTACCTTGAAGGCCAAGTACCAGGAGATTCATTCATGCGCCTCCTGCATCACGTTTAGTTTGGTACTTGGCCTTCAAGGTAGTAAGCTGACATTCACTCACTCTTGACCCCCAAAAGAGCCCTGATGGATCAGACTGAAGGCTCTCTATTCTAGCAAGACATGAGCACACTACTATTCTTCCACCTGTGATCCCCAGCCATTGATATTCAGGGGCATGCCATCTCTGATACTGAAGATAGTAAACAGCCATCATTGATGGCCTTTTCCTCCATTAATTTTGTCTCGTCCTCTTTAAAGCCATGCAAGTTGGTGGCCATCACATCTTGTGATAGCAAATTCCAAAGTTCGACTCCATGCTGTGTGAAGAAATGCTTCGTTTTGTCTGTCCTGAATCTTTCACCATTCAGCTTCACACACACACACACACACACAGAGAGAGAGAGAGAGAGAGAGAGAGAGAGAGCACTTTTCTGTGGATTGGACTTTACCCAATTCACAGGCAGAAAAAGAAAGATTAGGATTGCAATCCTATCGAAAGTAAATTCTGTTGAACTCAGAATAACTCTCTTCTGAGTATGTGTGTGTAGGAACTGGTTGTACTCTAGTTTGGCTTTGGGTTGTAATCATAAATAATGAACTCAACAGTGGGTTAAAAAAATAAAACAGGACAATCCAGCCTGTGCAATGCAAGACCCTCCTAGCATGCTGCAATCTACCTTTGTGAATGTGGCTCAGTGTTACAACATATTAAAGCAAGATTTAGTCCACACTAATGGGGAAAGTGGAATATAAAGTGGAAAGGTTGTCTGCCAGTGTGCTAACTGCATCCTAGTTTAAGCAGAATTTACTCAGCAGATGTTCATCACTGCTTCCACTTTAGGGTGGTGTTGTTGAATGTTACCAAAGACATCTTACTAATAGAGACTTCATTTTCTTGTGGGTTGCTGCACAAACTACAGTCCATACAGTTATCAGGATCAGTTGTGTCAGAACCAGCTGGTTTTGTATCTGGATGCCTCATGCTCAGAATATATTGTGGAGCAATAGACTGAGGTTAAATCTGCTGTAATCATTGCTAAGGTTGTAATCCTAAACCAACTTAACTAGGAGTAAACCCTGTTGAATTCAATGGGACCTACTTCTGAGTAGAAAAGGATAGGATTGTGCTGTAAGTCTGGATCCAACCCAATGGAAGCAGGATAAGGGAACTGAAATGTGGAGAGTAATGAAAGAGAAAGGGAAGAAAGCAGCAGCATAAAGAGGCTTTAGAAGGAACACTTGCTAGAAGCTTAGGAGTGAGAAGTAAAGAGGATAGACGGCTAGAGACAGAGCCCATATGAGGCTCCAAGCCAAGATTTTCGGCCGTAACATATATTTGGCAGAGATAAAAGCCAGTCACGTTTGCCTTACAGGGCTTTAATTCCACCCAGAGGAACAGATGACTACATAAACCACTTGAGCTTTACCCTTATGATTTGACATCCCTGGGTAGAAAAGTAACTCTCCGACAACACAGCTTCCTGGCATCAATTCCCAATCGATGCTTTTGAGGTAGAAAATTCAGTGCCAGACTTAAGCTACAGATAAAGAAAGGTGACAGCAACAAACCTTTGTCACCTCTGTGACTTGCAGCACAGCAGTTAATGCTGCAGGAACATGTGTCTCATATTTGTGAAACTAGTAAAAGACTGTGTCATAAATATAAGCGATCCCCCCACAATGAATAAAATAAAATAACACAATGCAAAGGAGTAGCGATTTAAAATAAATTATACATTACCACTATAAATAATGTGTTTCAGCTAATGATTTAAAGACTGGCTGAGCAGATTTTAAAACTCTTTCAATTTTTGGAAGTTTTCCACATGCATTAAAATCCAGAGATTAATTGTGATCTCATTAGGCGTGACATATACATGTAGGAATGTTTCCAACTAACAGTCCATTTTTCAAACTACACCACCATTTAAAGCACATCTAAAAGATCTGATTGTGGAAAAGAATTCCAAGGCTCAGGAGGACGATCCACCTAGCACTGGTTTTATACAATCTCCATTCAGTGGAAATAGGCTCCACTTCTGGGTGGGGCCGGGTTGCGGTTGGGCCAACTAGCCTCCCACCTCAGCGTGGGGGCGGGACAGTGTCCTGCATCCCGCTGGGGGAGACCCTGGACACGTCAGGTTGCCAGGCGGTCAATCAGGTTGCTTTGGGGCGTGGCCAAGGCCAATTTAAGCCGTGGTGCAACTCAGAGGCTTCCCTTTCAGCCTTGCGCCCCGGATCTCCTGCCCTCCCACCCTTTTTTCAGGTTGCATCATTGGCCTTGCTATGGACTTTGGTCACCGTTGAGGGGCCTGGTAGGAATTTTCCCACTTGGCAAATTGGCACCAACCACTTGGTTTTTGCCTACCTCATAGCAATTGTCACAACTTTGTAAGGTTAGGCGGTTAGGCATTGGAATAGTGATGGGGGGGAAGGGGAGGTGCGGCCATAACCTGCCTCCCTGTGCTCAAGGGTATTTCGTTAAAGGAATCTGGGGGTGTGAATCTCGTCCGAAAGCCCAGGGAGGGGCTAGGGCCATGCCACAACCCCATTGGGAACCCAGGGGTGCTCAAGTCGATCCCCATCGGCAGGGCTCCCCCTACTGGTGGTTTACCCTTACCAGACTTCCTGGAAGGCGGGCAGGAGTCAGATATTAATGTTGATGCCAATGCCTAAGCCAATACCGCTCACATTCTGTAACCAATAAAGTTGTCGTCTAAATTTTGCCCATTAACATTAACCTAAATTCTGTGTCCTTGTGTCTTTATTCTCCTTGTGTGACACACAACTGGGCTTGCATACGATTCCTGCGCAAGCTTCTTTGGATCTGGTGGATTGCTGCCAGAGTTTAAATTTACCATCGTAAACCTTGCCTTTCCACACACCATGTAGTTTGGGCTCCCCCCCTCTAAATTCCAGAGCTCCACCCCACAAGCACTTCAATCTGATGTTCCAGGGCTGTGCCTGGATTGTATAGGTTGATCTAAGAGGGGCTTGTGAGTGAACTATCCTGCCTTACAGGAAAGGTATACGTTAAAAATATGCAATTATTTTAAAATATAAAGCCCAATTTTCTGTCCTCTAGGGCACAATACACCAGTGCATATAAGCATGATAAGCAAATATCTGTAAGATGTTCATTTAAGAAATAATTTAGAATCTAGGAGCTGAAACTAGCATTGTGATGATTTTTGGTGATCTTCAAGTTGCCATGAGTGGGATGGTTGTGTGGATAGATCCTTAAAAAAACACCACCTCACCTTTCATGCTTTTGCACTTTTTTTCACACTTATGTGCACCCATTGCTTACCTGAACTGTTGCGTGCGCTCTCTCTCTCTCTCCTCTCTCTCTTTAATTTGAAGGGATATTTAACATATGACCACAGCCAATCAGAGGTCACATAGTGGAGCCAAGCAAATGAGACTACATTATGACATAGATGAAGACAAACAATATCCTTCCATTATGGGGAGAAGCTGCCCACTCAACTTGCCCAGGCAAATGAGTTGACCTAATGAAACCATTCACACACACCAAAGGAACATGCTGCAAGTCAATATTGTTGCAGTAGCTTTGATACCCAAAGTAAATTGCCATTTGTAGATTTCAGCTCTCTGGAAGTCACAAAGGAGAGAAAGTGCTCCCTGAAATATCCCGAACTCTGTCTATATAGGAGGAAGGAAAAACAGAAGCTTGAACTTTGCCAGCAACAGACAACTGCTGGAGTTTTGTGGTGTTGGTGTAATATGGTTCCCTGAGGCTGGAACCAGAGAAGCCATGCTGCCACATACTGATATCTTATCTACATGCTGACACTGAAATTTCAGAACTGTCTTTGCAGGTGCCACCCTGTAGAGTGATTGACAATGACACAGCAGATGACCAAGGCTTGCCAGCCCATGGCAAATACTTCCTTACCCTTCAAGAAAGGGAATCTGTCTTTAAAGAGCTAGACAGCATTTTGGACACTTCCTGCTCATTGTTCCTATGGTTCTGTTTTTAATACCACTTTGATCCCACTTTCCTTTTATCCTGAAATAAACGAGAGTTTGCAGGTAAGTACATTCTGAGTTGATATATATGGTTAGAAATACACCCAGTTCAACATACAATTTGCAGAAACCTTCAGAAGAATTTTTTTAAAGTCTTTATATAAAAACAGTGAAGCATCTATCTAGATTTAATTACACTAAGCACCATCAGTTTGCTTTAAAAAAAACAAGAAGAAACCATTGGTTATTGCTTTAAATAATTTTCCTCTTTAGAATTAACAAGAATTTCTTCTCACTTTGCAACACTAAATGAATATAGTTGGAAAAACTATTATGACATCCTTTGATTTCAATTATCACTATTATATGGAATGCCAATGGGTATATGCAGCCCTCATTTCATTTAGCAAAATTTTGCTATTAGTTTAAACTCCAACTTAGTGCCCCCCCAAATGTAATTTGGGAGAGGAGGGATGTTTTACAAATTGCATGGAACAAAGTACACCAGTTCTTCAGGGCTGTTCCAGATAATGCTGTAAGGGCCACGTCATACATTTAAAGCACTATTATGCCACTTTTGAGAGTCAAAAGATTCCTGGGAACTGTAGTTTGCTAAGGGTACTGAAAGTTGTTAGAAGACCCATGTTCTCCTCTCAGAGCTACAATTCCAGGAGCTCCCTGGAAGGATAAAAATGTGGTAGAATATCACTTGAAATGCATGGTGTGGATGTGGCTCTTGTGTGGTAGAAACATTAATGTCCTGCTACATAGCAAATCCATCCATGTGCAATCACATTTGCACTGCATCCCAGCAGCTGCAGTGTTGTATTGCTTGGAAAATGTAATAATACCCATCACTCTCCTTTAAACTACTATGGTCATAAGTGGTCCCTGGTTGAGTGGTTGTGCAAGTGTCCCAGACACCAAACTGGATGCATGTGTGGCAAAAGCCATCCCTCTTTGTATACATTGTTTTGAGGAGTTTAGGGTATCTGACATTCTTCATTTGCTGGGTTTGGTATTCCTGCTTTCGCATACTGGAGTGCACCCCCCCCCATGCAACCCTGTTCCTAAACTGGGGGCAGGGCAGGAACCTGCAGTCCTCCAGATGTTGTCGAACCTTAATCATGCCATCTGGGATCACTGGCCATGCTGCCTAGGGCTGACGGGAATCAGAGTCCAACTATGGATAGCAATAGCTTCCCTACCTCTGAACAAAAAGGCCATCACTGAACAGCAACATGTTGTATCACTGGCAGTGCAATTAAGTATAGCCACTGGCAACAGCCACTGCTCTTTAGAACAGGCACTTGTGACTTCTGAACGCGCAGATCTCCACATTACATTGTCAGGCATGGGCAAAACTAGAAAGGAGTGCACAAGCAGATTGCTACAGCTTTGCTGCATAAGTCTCACCCTTGGTGCATCTGTTCAGACACATCAGTTTGGAACTGTCACATCAAAGAGTACATGGGATACAAGGCTTCAAAAACTGTTTCCAGATCTGACCCAGTGAACATGCAAGTTACAATACTTGTTAGGCAAGTCTTTCAGGGTCTCCCCCTCCCCATATCCAATAATTGATTTAGTTGTTATTAGTTATGCAGAGATGGGAAGAATCCTTGAGGCCTCCTAAGACAGTATTCAGCTCTTTAAATCAACCCTTTTGAATGAAGCTCTCTCCCCCTGCCCGCCCCGCCGAGTCTTCCTGTTCATTATTCCTCTAAGTCTTCCTTTCCCGGACACCAGCTGCCACCAAGGAAGTCGACAGCAGCATCTTCCTCTGCCTTCTTAGCGGGCTGGAGCTGCACCAACATGGCCTGGAGAGTTTCCTTCACCATCTGGATCTCTCTCTGTAGAGACTGTATATGCTTTATTAAGGAATAAATTGAAAGGTAATTGGCAGCTCCTTTCCTCTCTCTGAGTTATTTAATAAGTTGTTGTTGTGCTGTGCACAACAGATGGGCATTGCTAGCTAATTGCAGCGTCAAGTTCATCCAAATTGCTTGGATTAAATATTAATACATATTTCACACTTGCTTATGCCCCCCTCCTCATCCTGTCTTTTTGGGCCTGTGGGCAACAAACAGCATTTTTTGCTTGAGGGGTATGAAGTGAGCAGCAATTTGTGTGCGCACGCACATATGTAAGCGTGAGTGGCTGTTGTAAATCCCCATGTGTTACACAAAGAGAATACCACAGTCACTATTCAGAGGGAATAATCTTAGATCTCAGCTTGAGAGGAATATAAATGAACATAGAGAGCGCTTTTTTTTTGTCTCTGTGCCAAACCTTCAGGTCACTGATGGCAATTCTCACTAACATGAGAACAGATTCCCTCCCCAAGTTCACATTCACACTGCCCTCACATCTATCAGAGTCTGAAATGCATCCTCTCCCTCTCTCATACACGGCATCCTCCATAAAGTGAAAAACCACCCCATGACCGAGGAATAAAAAACAGAACACAAGTTTCCGCTCTGGTCCTAGATGACTTTACTTGAAAGTAAACTACTCTCAACAGAGCTTAAGGGAGCTGAGCCTTGCAGCCTTACCCATAAAGCCAGGCCTGGAATTGCTTCCTCTACAGCCCCAACTCTGCAGCTGGGTCAGTCTTATACAAAATGCACAAAATGACTCATATTAATGCCACAGCCTTTCATTCTGGAACACAATGGAAACAGGACCTAAAAACTAACCTAATTAGTTCAGCAAGGGAACAATCAAGTAAGAGCTATTTTACATTTCAAACATGGAAGATAATGATAATATATTATGAAACCACACTTCACAGAACATTAAAGTGTCTTGGTTCAGAGCCAAATGTTTAAAAACTCCCTACACAGGGAGAGGGCAAAGTACAAGCTGACACTGATGTGCTTCCTCGCTTTTTATGTTTTTGGGGGCTCATGATCTATTAGGAAATGCTGCCATACCCAAGAACAATGTCAAGATGAAAATACATCCTTAGGTTATGAAGTAGATAAATAAAAAATCGTTTTTCTTTGGGGGTGAGGGGAGTAACTAAAGGGGATCATGGGAAAGTTATGCAAATACCTTCAATGCCAGACTGTCACACATACCAATTTGAAAAGCCTTTTGGCAGCTTCTGATTCTTTCAAAGCTTCCTCAAGATTTCATCTTTTTCTGTAATTTACATACATTCACTGTGATGTTTGACTCTCTCTTCTTCTTTTTTACTTTATGGGGAACTAATGTTAGTGTAAAAGGATAAGATCAATTTCTGCTCACATTTTTACACCGTCTTTTTCAGTCTAAAGGCAAGACCCAGAGAAGATGCTGAACAAATACCTTTTGTGCTAAAACCATGTACCAAGGATAAGTAAACAGACCCCTCATATAAGGGTGGACCACTGTTAAAAGTTGCCAGTGCTCTTTTCCACCTGCCCACCCTTCCTTCATTACACCTCAGAGATACAGGCATTGCCAGAGGCATAGTATGTGGGGGGGGGGTTGTGGGTGCCATGGCCCCAGATGCAATTTTGAGATGGGGTGTAAACAGGCACCCCCACAACAGGTTCCTTCATTGGAGCCTGGCTCTGTGTCAGGAGTTGCACCTTGGCTGCAGTGCTTGTGCCTGGCGCAGCTCCGCCCCCCAGGTCAGGCCTGACCCAGGGGAGGAGAGCAGGCGAGTGGGTGCCAGTGCTGCCACCCACCCTCCTCGGCTGCAACACAACTTGCACCTGGGGGCAGCAGCTGTGCACATGGGGTTACCTCCTTAAGTTTAGTTATAGTGGAGTGGGAGTGCCGAAAACAACGCCAATATATTTCACATCTGACAACCAATGTGCTGCTTTGGTTTCAGACAGTACGTGGGTAGACGAGTCTAAAAAGCCCGGATCACAAATTTTCATAGTCCTCTATGGAGGTTCATTTCCCAGAAGTAATGTATTTTGCATTAACTCTAGAAATTTATATTCGGATCTGACCAAACTAAGCTCCTTAGAGCAAAATACACACCAGGATTACATCCTCTCCCCACAAAAAACCCCATAAAACCATAGAATCATAAAATTGTGGCATTGGAAGGGATGCCCAAAGGCCATCTAGTCCAACCCCTGCAAATATGACCATAAAACCTTCATATCCCCTCTGTTTGATTTAACAACATCAAACATGAAAGAAAAGAAAAAACTCAGAGTGTAGTTCATGTTTCAGAAGAGAGAAACACCCCTCCCACTGTATATAGGTCTCATGATTCACACTGTCACTAAAGAAAAAAATTATAGATAAACTGTCTCTTCTGGGCCAGAGCGTTACATATAATCATGTGCAAGAAATATCAGCCACAGTAACACCCTGCAAAAACTGGCACCAGAGTCAGGGGTCATCAGTTAGTACCCCCTGACTCTGAGGCCAGTTGGTGTGGAAGAAATCCCTGGGAGAGTAAGGGAGGTTTGTACCATAGGATGTCTGGCTGGTTTGCTTATGTCTCCACTGGCATTTCAAACTGACTATTAAAACCATTAACACAAACTTATTTTTGCAGGGTGTGAAAAAGTGTATTTTATGCAGACAGAATTCAAATAGCCAACCCACTTTCTTGCAGCAAAAATAGCATTATATCTCAAACTATTACATGCCCTCAAATTGTCTGTCAAGCCATAACTGCTAATTAAGACCCCAAATGACTGTGAAATTGCAATATAAAAATCCATTTAATTTTACTGGGAATGCTAAGTCTTTCCTGTTAGTAAAGTAACACCTCTCATCAAGTCCTCAGACACCAGCAATGCGTCACCTCTTGCCTTTGGTTCTTCCAATTAACAATTCAGATTGTTTTCATTTGCTTGCCACTGATTAACAGCCATTGGCTCTTTTGTGGGTTTGCTTCACTATGGTATTTCTTGTTCAACAAATCCATCAGATGCAGAGATACACACAAGTTTTACTTTTACTAACCAATCTTATACCGTCTACTTAGATGCAAGTCCCTTAGAGTTCAATACTCCCAGGGAAGTAGATATAGGAGTGAGCTTTAATTTGCCTGCTTGTGCTCCCATTCATCCGTCAAATGCAAAACCTCCTGCTTAATATTTGCTTTGAGAAGTTACAATATTAAATAAAAATCCCTTGTGGGTCTGTGTAAATATTCAGTGCTAAGCATTAGTGCTGGTTTCTGACTCCATTTGTGTTGTGTGTGCTATTTATGCCCTACTAGCAGGCTGGTTGGTTCCAGTATTCTGTGCCATAAAAATGTATAATGAAAAACAATGGCATCTGGGATTTATTTCTTCTAATAGAAGTTTAATTATTAATCAAAGCCGCAATGTGTGTTTAAATATTGGCAGAACCGCCTTCTTGACAGCACCAGGAAGTTAGATCTCCCAGAAGCAGCCTTCTCTCTCTCTCTCTCTTTTCATTAGAAGCATACCAGCTGCAATTTTCAACCCAAAGTACTTGTACCTATCCTTGCAGGTTTTTGGAAGATCATGCACCTGGGCACCCATTTAGCCCTTGGTTAAAGGTTTGTCTACTTTAATGGGCAATTTAGAAATTAAAATATCTGGGAATTAGTTTAGGTGACACTAGAACTATTGCTAAGAGCCATTTCAGGCATGATTTTTGCTGTTCATTTTACACATTTAACTGCTTGTGCAAGTGATCTGTCAGTGTGTGAACAGTTTAATACTGGCAGATGGCACTCTCAGAACTCTGCAGATCAACTTCCAAGGCCAGGTTGCATTCTGAAACAGGAAACTCCTGCTCATGGAAATGGATCCGCTGAACTCTAAGTCCCCTCCTCTTGTGTTAGGAAAGGACATAACATGACAATACCCTTCTATTCCATTTGGAACGTTTTAACTTATTTTACAATTGACATTGCTTTACTTGTTTTTATAACGACATATTCTATTGTTGTTATGACCCGTCCCGGGAACTTATGGTGAAGGGCAGGTACAAAATCTAATAAATAAACATGCAAACCACTTGGAAGCCTTTGCATAATACAAATAAGCATGAGGAAGCTTTGTCATCAGCCATCCTGACTGCCCTACACAAGTCGCCTCCTGTCTTTTCCCTGCATCTGTTTGAATGGGGTTCTTGCTGCTCCTACTGTAGCAGATCCAATCCATTTGGCCAAGGAATAGACTGAGGGAAGATGATGCCATTATGTTATTATGGTGCCTGAATCGGAGACTGCCTGGGGGCCTAGCATAAGCTGCTCCGAGTTTCTCAAAGGAGGAGCAGGATGTATCAGTGTAATAAATAAACTGTGCAGCATGGGCTCAAAACAGTTGTGTAAACTGGGATTTAATTCTGTTGGATCTGGCTGGAGTTTTTACCATGGTATTTTAGGATCCACTAGATACTACAAGAGAGACACAGTTATTGCTGCTCCCTGTGTCTTTCTTTCTCTCCAGGGTAGCATGTGGTTTTACAACCAACCGTTTGGAAGCAGGGGGTGGGTAAATGCACAGCACAATGTTGTTGCATCCCATGTTGGATAAAACAAGACATTACTGGAGAGAAAAAAGGATAGAGGCACAGAGAAGTGGCAAGTAGACCTTTGGTAGAGTTGTTTGCAGGTTCCTTATTTTTTTGAATATTGCAGTCTGTCATGAACCTTTCAAGCTGGCTTTGAATACAAAGCCGAATTAGCAACAAAAAAGGCCATCTTTTCCTGCTCAGTTTCCTGATTATACTTTTTCCGCCTCCTCCTCTTGCTTTGTTTATTCAACCCCATATTTCTGTCTGCCTCCAGTTTAAGCAGCATATGCATTTGTGGACATCATGCAGAAGAATTGTGGAAGAAAAAGGCAGAAGTGATTTTTAACTTTGTGCCTTTCCATTTATGTAGACATGACAGATTCAGCAAGCTTAAACCAGATGCCAGTTGGCATAAGCAGCCTTTTACACAATTTATGTTTCCTCATTCAAGGGATTTCATCTGGAAGACAACCAAATGCCCATCTTGCTAGGGTTATTTGTACTATACACAGTTAAACTGCAGGGCAATGTGCCACGGTAAGTAATCACTGGATATTTTAAGGGGAAAATATGTTTGTTTCCAAGATATGCATCTCCTGTTTTGGCTGTAGATGATAATTCACTAAAATTGGTTTAGCAAATTACTTTTGTAAGTGGAGATCGCTGGGTTTTTCACACATCTGTTGGAGCAAGTGGAGGGAAGACTGGGATCATAGGTGCCAATTCCATTCACGGAATATGGACATATAACTGTAGGCATGTATGGTTCTTACCATGTGATCAGGAACCATCACAAAGTGGTAGAGCATCTGCTTTGCATCCAGAAGGTCCCAAGTTCAATCCCGGGCAGCTCCAGGTAGGGCTTGAAAAGATCCCTGCTTGAAACCCTGGGCAGTCACTGCTGGTCAGTGTCAAAAATACTGAGCTAAATGGACCAATGGTCTGACTCACTATAAGGCAGCTTCCTATGTTTCCATGTTCCTAAAAGCAGTGGGCCATCAGAAGACCCAAAAATGTAAAATATCTGTACATGCAGTGCCAAATCAAATCCTGTAGAGGCCCCCAGGCAGTCGAAATCTGGGGGGGACGGGTGACACCCACCTCGCATTGAAGTAAAAATGGTTGCTTGTAATTTTCTTTCAAGATCAAATCAATATTATTTTGATCTGTTGTCACAGGGCCCCTAAAAGGCCTGGGGCCCATAGGCCAGTGCCTACTGTGCCTGTTTGGTAATCTGGCGCTGTGTACTTGCCTGGCTGAACTCATGGAGGTTAGTCGCAGCAGCAGCATTGCTCTTCCATATGTTCAGCTGAATATGTGGCAAACAATTATGTCCCCTCAGAAGTCTTCTGTGGTGGTATTCCAGTGCTTTTCCCCCCAGGAGGTACTCAAGGGTATGCAGTACCAGAACCGCTTTAAAAAAAAAATGTGGCACTTACAGCTCATGGTGAGTACCAGCACCTATTTTTCTAGAAAAAAAACCACTGGGTATTACAAACATTATAAGACAGATTGTTTTAATATATGCCATAGGTTTGGAGGAATGATCTGTCTGGATGATAACTGTGAGTCCCTTCAAAACCTATGATCATATTCTTGTGATGTTAAACTCCATAAGGAAACTTGTTGAATCGGTCAGGCAAGTCTTTTTGTAAGGCCTTAGCTGGCCAACAGCATCTAATAGAGTGAGCTCGGTTGCCATAGTGACAACTAAATGATGATGTTCTTTAGGATGGGGCGTAGGCATTTCCTCCACCTCCCTCACCTGACTGGATGCCACATCATCCTAGGATGGAGATTAATAGGCCAAGGGGGGCATGTGTGAGTTTGGCTGATGCTGGAAGTTAGAGACAGAGACATGTCTCAGTCTGAACTGGACCCAAAGCTGAGTTTGGGGTTTTCCTGGAAACGTGATGAGGCAAGATCTGCTGGAGGTGTTAATGCTGTGAGTGCCTCCATCTATGCTGTGTGTGTGTGTGTGTGTGTGTGTGTGTGTGTGTGTTTAGAACCATATGTCCTAAATATACCACAGTCTCCATTGACCTTCAGTCCATGAAAGCCAAATCCTGGGAGACACCCTGGAGACTCTTGCTGCTTGGAGATTGGAGTATATGCAACAATAGTTTGAGGGTGCTGATATCAGTACTTAAATCACTCTAAATTGAAATTAAACTTTACATCACCAAGAATGTACATTCGGTTTCTATTCTGCTTTTTCTTTCTATTAACCATTGGCACAAATTGCACTGAAGAGGCTCAGATGCACTTTTCATGGTATGTACAGGGGGAAAGTCTCAAAACAACATCTGTTCAGTCTGACCTAATTTTAGATCAAGCCAATGACAAGACTCCTCTCAGTTTCAGCGAGTGCTAGATAAATGGTCCTGTCACTATTCTCTGAGGGCGCATCTGCACTGGACTGTTCCCTAATATGCAGTTGGCAATTTAACACTGAAGCGGATGCTTGGAAAGATACACATTTTTTAAAAAAATGCGGGGGGGGGGGAATATAGGAAGCTTGGTGCAGCCGGCACTTGCCCCACTATTACCCCCAAATATAGGACAGATAGGAAGAGAATACTAGTATATCTTTATACACAACATAAGGTGCACCAAACTTTGTCAAGAGCAGGGGTGGCTGTGGAGCTTCAAAGCCCTCAAGTGTAGAGCTTTCCTCCCTTTGTGATGCTGGTGAGAGAAGAGCAGAGGAGCTGTCCTTGAGATGAGCCAAGAAGCCAGGTGGCGAAGCAGCTGGCCTCTCCCCACAGAATGAACCCTGCGGGAGGCATGAAGCATCCGCACCCTACCTAGCCAGGCTTGTAACTTCCCACAACAAAGGAAGGCCAATACGAGACCCTATTCTGATAAAGCAGGCACCTAACATGTGCACCCTCCTCCCTGAATGGTGCTGTGGGTTAAACCACAGAGCCTAGGACTTGGCGATCAGAAGGTCGAAGGTTTGAATCCCCGCAACGGGGTGAGCTCCCGTTGCTCGGTCCCTGCCCCTGCCAACCTAGCAGTTCAAAAGCACGTCAAAGTGCAAGTAGATAAATACTGGCGGGAAGGTAAACGGCCTTTCCGTGCGCTGCTCTGGTTCGCCATAAGTGGTTTAGTCATGCTGGCCACATGACCCGGAAGCTGTACGCCGGCTCCCTCGGCCAATAAAGCAAGATGAGCGCCGCAACCCCAGAGTCGGTCATGACTGGACCTAATGGTCAGGGGTCCCTTTACCTTTACTGACCCTTGAGGACCAGTGAATAGGAATTGGCTATCTTTGTAGCCCCTCCCTGGTGTGAATTAAGGGACCTCTCCCTGCAGATGCTAATCTCTGTCCAAGGATTGACTGAAAGTCTAACATTATGCCCTGCAGTGGCTCTGAAGAATCCAGTTCCAAATAACTTTCCAAATTTTGCTCCTTATGGATTTCCTCTCTAGGTTCTGGGATGTACTACCTGGCTACAAGTAGAGGTGATGCAAGTGGTAGTCCAATAGCACCTGAAAAGCCACAGGTTCCCATGTCTCTGGTATAGTGGATGGAACTTACGAGCTGACAGAAGATATTGATATGGAGCAAGATTTGCTGGGATTCATTGCTCTGCATGAGCTAATCTCATTTCCTCAAAAAGACTTTCATAGGTGCACTTTCAGTGCACAAACCAGCAGCACCTGTTTGTGTTCAAGCTCCATTATCTAGTCTCATAGCCTGACCTGGAACTCATCCTCCCTTAGTCCAGAGTGGAAGGAGATTGGTGGATATCCCACAAGGTTCCCAATAAATCACCCGTCGGTCCAAGTCATCATGGTTGAATTACTTATTATTATTTCCTAGTTCAGGTTTCCAGAGAACAAAGTTCTATTATAACCTAGTTCTCTTAAGTAGGATTCACACAATGCTAATTTCAGGACTGTGCTGATAAAAGCTAATTCTTTAGCTGGAGCATCAAAGGCAGACTATCAAAAAAAGGATATGAACAAGGTCTTCATCATAGCCGCAGAGCGCTGTTTGAAGTTGATCTTCCAGGTGCAGCAGCTTCTCACTTATTTTTTCACATTTGTCGTCAAGTTCTGCTGTAAGTATATGAAATTCCTACAAGAAGGGGGGGGAAATATTACAAGAAAGTGTTTGCGTTTTTGGCTGCACATTAGCATCCTTGAAGATCATATTAAATCGGGGTACAATATTTTGTTACGCAGGAACAAACTCAGCAACTGACCTTTCACTTTAAATTCATGCCTGCCATAGCCATGTATAAAGTAGGGAGTGTGGGGCCTATTCTAAGGACAAAAGTAATCCTTCTCTTTAATTTCTGTTACTGTTCATTTTTTAAGTAAACAGCTTGACTACTGATAATGCACAGTTAAGAATCAGCATGGGTGGGATGGGAAGCAACACGTATCCATCAGGGTACCAATTTAGACTACAGTGGTACCTCGGGTTAAGTACTTAATTCGTTCCAGAGGTCTGTTCTTAACCTGAAACTGTTCTTAACCTGAAGCACCACTTTAGCTAATGGGGTCTCCTTGCTGCTGCCGTGCCGCCGGAGCACGATTTCTGTTCTCATCCTGAAGCAAAGTTCTTAACCCGAGGTACTATTTCTGGGTTAGTGGAGTCTGTAACCTGAAGCCTATGTAACCCGAGGTACCACTGTACTGTGATGTGCAGTATGTGGACTTTAGGGCTGGACTGCAACAAATGAAACCTAGTTAGTCTCATCACAACCTGATGATTATCAATTTGTGATGAGGTGAGGATAGGATTTTTCACTGGTGGGGTTACTGAAATATGAGTGGTCCCAATTTGTACTGGCATTCCAATGGCTTTTGAAGAGTGCCTGTTTACACAGACATTCTCTTCACCTGAGTCTCTCATTTCAATTGCTATGCTGTTTTAATTGGATTGTTTTGCTGCACATTTTAATCCTGGTGCTTTATATTTGAATGGAATTGTTTTGTTGTGTATTTTACTTATTTCATAGTTTAACAATGTTGTGCAATTAGTTTTAATGCTTTGTAAGCCACTTAGAAGTGGCCTAGGCATTAAGCAGTCTATGAATTAAACATTCTTATAAATAAATAAATAATAGACAGACAGACAGACAGACAGACAGACAGACAGACAGACAGACAGATAGAAGGAAGAGATAGGCATCTTCATACTCTGCTGAAAATATCAATAGACACAAGCAAGATTTTCAGCAGTCTAATTCCCACAAATGGATTCTGTACAACTTTACAATAATCCCATTTGTCCAGATGCTTCGTTGCAAAACTTTACAGAAAATAATAAGTTTACACCAGGGATCAATATGCCATAAGCTTTTAAAACCACAGGCAGCCATACTAAGCGATGCCATATATTGGCTATAAATGTCCTTGTGGCTGTATGGATGAAGAGCAAGTCATCCATCAAGCTGTTAGATTGTTATTCAATACCCAGCAGGATCCTGCATATCTTAGGGAGAGAAAAAACACCTGAGCAATTTACAAGATTGGAAAGCTATTAGAAAATACCTTAGTGACCCGCATACAAGAAGACAGGGCAACAACATTAAAAAAAAACCCACTTTTATTTACTATCTGGCAGGCTTGCAGGGAGATCAGTCATGAAATTATTTATTTTCTTTGCACTGAAGAGTCCTTAAAGTCCTGATTACCAACTGGCGCATCTATCTGAAGAAAACAATTTTATTCTAGATGCTCACTATTCTTTTTTCTTTTTTGAAGTTAAAGATTTGGATGGGGTCACCTTCTTAACTGGGAGTGAGTGTTGCTGCACAGTATGAAATAAGGAGAGTGATTATCCAAATGGTCACATATTTATGACAGGCTGTATCCAAATTTATTATTTATTTATTTATTGCATTTATATCCCGTCATTCCTCCAAGGAGCTCAAGGTGGCACACGTGATTCTTCATCCTCACTATTTTATCCTCACAACAACCCTGTGAGGTAAGTTAACCTGAGAGACTGACTGACCCAAGGTCACCCATGAAGTTTCATGGCTAAGCAGGGATTTCAATGCTGGTTTCCCAGGTCCTAGTCCAACACTGAACCGCTACATCACACTGGCTCTCTTTGAACGAACTAACTGATTTTGGTTGGGGAAACTTCCAGTTATATAGCACATAAACTCATAAATGCACATCCAAATTCATGAATGAAAGTGATGAAAAACATCTTCCCTAAAACTAACCTGCCTATTGAGATTAAGCAGGTCACTTTTGGGCAAGATTCTTGTTTAGTTAAGCCTACCCAGATGCTTGGAAAGTTGTGGTAATTTTAATCTGTATTATTGTTTTAATTTTTGTGAGTTTTAAAGTATGGCTGTAAATTTTGCTTGGTTTTATTGTCTTATCTTTCTGTAAACTGGTTTGAGGTTTGTTTGCATAAATCTCATGAAATAAATAATAATAACCACTCGGCAAACTTCATCCAAGTAGAACAGTCACAGTTCAAATCACGAGCTGATGCCACAATAAACATGTGAGTCTTTAAAGTGCAATGTGGACTCTGTTGTTTTTGCTACAACAGGGTAACGCTCAGGCAATTCAAAACACATGGGGGGGGTGTTTTCTATAAGAAGATAAAAAAAGTTGTAACTTCAAAGTGCTGGTTTATTGAGTAGCTTAGCTGAATCTGATTAAAGTGCCCTGCCATTAATATATTAGGCTATAGGTCAGATTCCTGCTGTGACCATGCAAGAGACTTCACAAGGCTGATTTGAAAACAGGTGGTGTGGAAATTAAGTGATTTTTAAATCCTCTGCCATCCTCAGCAATAAAGCTGAGGCATAATGCATGCCCACCAAAACAGAACAAAAAATATCAGTATTTGAGAATAGTCCCTAAACTTGAGACTAATATAAGATATCTACCATTCTAAAAGATTAATTCAAGTACTGTGGTTCTGCTACTTTGCTTTTCCTGTGTTTTTACTGCTCCTGTATCCTATTGGCTTTCTGCTTTTGTACTAAGCAGTGTGAGTCTCACAACCATGGGGCTGTTCTAACATTGCATTTTGCTACTTGTATTGTGAAAACAGCCCAAGATGCAAATCTTTGTAATGTGGGTGGGAGCTGTTGGTTAGTCTAAGAAGTGCAAAGGGCTGAGAATCTCCTGAGAATTTTTTTCTATAGCTGCATCTAAGGCAACCTAAGGCCTGTGGGCCAGATGCAGCCCAATCGCCTTTTCTATCCAGCCCTCAGACGGTCCAGGAATCAGCATGTTTTTACATGAGTAAAATGTGTCCTTTTATTTAACATGCATCTCTGGGTTATTTGTGGGGCCTGCCTGGTGTTTTTACATGAGTAGAATGTGTGCTTTTATTTAAAATGCATCTCTGGATTATTTGTGGGGCATAGGAAGTCGTTCATCCCCCCCCCCCCAATATATATATATATATATTCCGGCCCACCACAAGGGAAAAGACTCCTTTCTACAGCCAGCCAAACATTGCTGCTCATCTTGCTTCTTGCTGGAGAGAAGACATTCTCCAAATAATTACAATTTTGATTAATTTCTATTACCGGATTTGAGACCTGACATGAATTGTAAGAATCTGCAGGCCAGGTGGGTTCCAGAATGTCATTCAGTAGAACTGAATTTCACTGCACACAAGCACAGCTGCTAGGTTCTGGAAGAGCAATGCTGGAACCTAGAAACTAGAGTTCTTTGCTGAAGAAAACCTACATTCAAATCCCTATGCCATTACATTTTCTGGATGGTCTAGGGCAAGTCAATACAGTACCTCTCAGCCTAATCTACTGCACACAGAATTGACTGAGGAAAAAATATGAATCTGAGTACACTAGTGGAACCCTGTTATATAAAAGTAGCACTGTTTGTTTTGGCTCTCTTTTGAGTTTTAGGGGTTACATGTTGTTGCTTTCTGATCAGGATTAGTGCAGAACAAGGAATTGTGCAAGATTCCTGCTCTTGCTTGGTTTGTTCTCTTTCCCTCTTTTTACCTTAAAAGTCAATTTTTAGTTCCTTTTTAGATGATGGTGGTGATGACATCTTGTATTGCTAGTTTGCTGTGGGTTTTAAACTTGCTGGGTTGATGGTCTTCTTCCCTGCACTTAGTTACAGAACTACAGAACTTGCTCCCACAGGAAGCAATGATGGCCACCATCATCAACTCGGCTTTAGAAAAGCATTAGACAAATTTCTAAGGATAATGCTATCACTGGCTACTAGCCATGATGGCTATGGTCTGCCTCTACAGGTGGAGGCAGTAAGCTTCAGAATACCAGTTGTCGGAAACAACAGTGTACTGCTGCGCTTGGATCCTGCTTGCAGGTTTCCCACAGGCTACTGTTGACCATTGTGAGAACAGGATGCTGGACTAGATGGGCCATGGGCCTGATCCAGCAGGCTGTTCATAACTAAGAAACTGCCATGGTATATGAATAGCAGATTTTTTAAAAAATGTTATTTTTAAATAGAACTGTTACATAAACTGCAGGTGGGAGGTGCTATCTTAGAAAAGGCAAGTGCCCCATCTTTCTTATGTAGAAGATGGTGCTTTCTATGAAACACACATGCATCATTTAAAACCAAAACCCAGACAATGTTTTTCCCCCATCCAGAATGACTGTTTACAGCCATTGCCGCTGGCTGGTGCTGATGGGTGTTGTAGTCCAGGACATCTGGAAGGGATCAGCAACAGTTGGCTTTAGTGATTTACACAGATGTAATCAAAAGTCGTACAATTAACTGGGTAACACCTCTAATAAAAAGGTGGTTGTTTCACACAAATTCAGAATCTCACCATTTTCTCTAAATAATAAAAAAAGTGATAGTAAAAGGATAGTGGCTCATTTTAACTTTAAAAAAATGGAGAGAAATGCCTCTCAGCATCTTCCTTGCCTATTAATGTCACTGCTAATATTTTTATCTGACACATATATGGAAGCAGGCAAAACACTGCCAGTGACACAGAAACTATTTTAAACACTTCCTGGTTGGAATGCTGCTTGGCGGCCACTGAGAAGCATGGAGTGTGTCTCTGGTAAGGAAGAAGAGAATGGCCCCTTGCCTCCAAGCTCAATGCATTAACCAGACTGCAACGCTGGAGCTGGCAGGTTG